ACATTTTGAAGCAGTTTTTGTAATATATGCATTTTTGTGCACATTATTTGCTTGGAGAACTGCATCACAAAAATTGGAGAAGTGTGAATTTTAAAGGATAGCTGTGCTTTGGTTCACTGCCATTTCAGAAAGTGTGAAATGGGTAGGTTCATACTGAGATCCAAATCAAACCAAATATCTCCTCCATGGTAAAATGTTACATTATATGCACCCTAGCCATAAATGTATTATAATATGGATGAAGAGGACTTTTGAAGATACCATCACTTACAGAGGCCTGTTTGATGGCCATGCATGATGGTGTAATGTGCTGCTTTCAGAGCTACGGTCGGTCCAACTCCCTACTTTCTCTGCTTTTACCAAAGATGTGATGCCACATCTTTTAATTTCGCCTTTTGCATTTTTCCTAGTATTGCTGCTTGTAATGTACTTCATGATGCTCTGTTGATTTAACTGTGTTTATAATGCTGTTGTCTTGATTGTATTTATTTGCAGTACACTACTTTGGTTGGTTTACAGAAGGGTGGCAAAACTTGTTGTTGTTGTTGTTGTTGTTGTATCCTCACTATTCACTAAAGATGCTGTTCAGAATCAGAAGCTTCTTGAACTAGACAATTTATAGAACACAGCTTGCTTACTTTGGCAAACTCTGGTACTACCTAAATAGGAACACATCTTTCAGTGGCAGATTAGCCTTGCTAAGACTACTCAGCCAGTCTTACATAATAGGCTCACCTGTCTTTGCCCAGATTTGTAGAACAGGTTGGATGAGAGCCCCTGTGTCTAAGGCACAGGCTATGCATTTTTCATTATGATCCCACAAGTAAGCCTTACAATTATTTACTTGCCCATTCAGGCATGGTAATTAATTTGCTTCACAGTATATAGAGCATTATTAGCTCTTGTGATCACTGCTATGGTGGGCAAGTAGGTTCATCCAGCAAATAACCATGATTTTCAAAGACAGCCAAGGAAGCATCTTACTGTGGTCCCAATGGTGCTTCTGGGTGTCCCAGAAAGAACAACAGTATGCACATGCTACAACCAAATATATGCAGGTTTTCTGCCACTGCAGTGTTTTATAGCTGTCAGTGGATTTATCCTACAGTCCCAGCATTCAGTAAAAGATGTCTGGAGGAGATTGAAGACCACTCTTCCCAGGATTACCTTGCATTTGCTAGTTTAAAAATTATTGCAGCAGCATTTTTCATTTGTATGCATGGAGAGAACCTGGATTTGCTGCAAATTTGTATTTCAAAGCTGATTTCTTTGTCCAACATCATTGGCAGTTTACATTCCTTGTCCCATACCCACCCCAGACATGGGAGATGCTGAGGAAATTGAAATAAGCATGAAATAAAAACATAATTTTGTTCAGGTGGGTAATAAATCAGATGGAGAAATAGTTTTGCATGGGAAATGGAAAACATATGTTGTATTCCTTGAGCTTCATCCTTTTTAGTTTGCCGCTTATATGGTGAATCTGATGAAGGAAAACAAGAATATATATCACAAAGAAAATAATGCAAGCACAGGTGCTCCTGTTCCAAACCTTTCAAATGGGCAGGAAAAAGAGGGGGGTGGGTGTGACATTGAAAAATAGTGTATGAAATTTTTATAGCCATCTTAGCTGTAAAAATAGCCATCCTGAAATGGCAACTGCCTAGGGTCAAATGCATAGCCTCTTTTTGTTCCTGGAATGTATATTGAAACAATTCTTGCCTATTCTCTGATTTCTCTTTGAACTAAATCTACCTATCCTGCCAAAATCTGAATCAATGTCACAGCAGCAGAGGCTAACTTTATTTACCCATGCCTCGCCAGTCAATTTCCATTCCTTATACACACACACACACCAGTCTTTGAAGGGCTAAACCAGATGTGACAGAGTTCAGGGTCTTTTTTCCTCAGACCTCAGTGTTCGTTTGTTTAATTTAAAGCAGTCTTGGAAGGCTGTGATTGGGGAGTTAAAGACCAGTGGAAAGAGGTTGCTTAGGCTTTCCACTGTCTGCATTTGTCTGCTAAGAATTCCCCTCCCCAAGCAACTTAAGTAATTGTCTTGCAAGGGTCACTGCTGGCAAAAAGGATCCACCCCATTGTAAGAGAAGAACTTCTGAAAATAAGACAGAAATGAGTAAAGCATAAATGTTGGCATGTCTACAGCCATTTCAAATGTGTCTGTGTAGAATACCAAGACAGAACACAGTCAAACATCACAACACTTTTTAAAAGAAGGATAGATCATGGGTATAGTCACCTAGGGACCCAGGTGGAAGTGGTGGTGCCATGGATCCCTTTTTTGGCAGCCAGGTTCCAGCAGGGCCAGCTTCCTATGTGAGGGGAGGCAGACTCAGCTGGCCTTCAGGCAATGGTTTTCCCACCTGTCTTGCCCAAGGAACCTTTAGAAGGGAATTGTTGCCATGGGCATTATGTTTACAGTGGTACCTCGGGTTACATATGCTTCAGGTTACATACGCTTCAGGTTACAGACTCTGCTAACCCAGAAATAGTGCTTCAGGTTAAGAACTTTGCTTCAGGATGAGAACAGAAATCGTGCTCCAGCAGCATGGCAGCAGCAGGAGGCCCCATTAGCTAAAGTGATGCTTCAGGTTAAGAACAGTTTCAGGTTAAGTACGGACCTCTGGAACAAATTAAGTACTTAACCTGAGGTACCGCTGTATGTGTATTCTAATGAGCTGAACAGAGTGAAAGCTTATGAGTCATGGGGGTGTGGAGAGTGTGTGTATGACCTTAACAGTGCTTAGTTTATTTTTTGGTTATGTTGTTAATATTGTTTTATAGATTATAAATGCTGTATTGATTTGTCAATCATATAATATGACTTTTGCTTTAATTGTGATGTTCAGCTTTCTGGGGAGTAGATTGGTAAGGTGCTGAGAAATCTTTAAAAATCACAAAACTACACTCTCAGGAAGCTTTAGGGAAAACTTTCGTTCTGGAAGTTAAAGTGTATAATCTCAGACATGGGTGTGAGGCAGCATGGTGTGACTGTCATGAAGGGACCTTGCATTTCTAAATTTGCCACCACACTACTGGGACAGATCAACCAGAAAGGTGTGACAAGCCTTCTGCTGATTGGAGCAGACAGGAGACACGAAGAAGTTAACCATACAAATTTACCAGCAGATAGGTTGTCAACAATGAGTGGTTGCTACACTATTTCTCCTTTTCATCTAATACTAAGGAAGCCATTATGAGTTGGATGAAGGCTAGCAAATGGCAACAATAAAGCAGACAATACAAAGGTTCTCCTGGTCAGCAGGGAGATGGACTCAGAATAGGGATCAGTTCTTTTTGAGATGGGATAATACTCCCCCCTCCTGTCCTTCAGCACTAAAGACTCTTCCACTGGTACTAAAAAAAAAAAACTTCCAGGGCATGTGGCACCCACAAGAGGACCTCGCTTGATGACCTAAAGGCTTGAACATGATGATCTTGGAAAAGGAGGTCTCACAGGGAAGCAGATCCCAGGCTGTTCAGGGCTTTACACTTCAACAGCAAAACCTTAAATTAATCAGAAAGCACATTTTAAAATGTTAATTAAGACAAGTACTTAAAAAACTGCAGATGGCAGGTGCTTCCTTAGAAAAGGCATTCCCTCTTCTCTCTCCCACAGGAGCAAATGCTTCTTTTGAGATGGTGACTGTGGTGACACATGCATGCATCATCTGAAAACAATGAAAGTCTGTCTTTTTCTTAATACCTATTGCTTTAAGTCATATGCAAATTTATATCAATTTGATTAATTAATCACTTTAAATTCGTTTGATTAATTGACTAAGATTTCTTAATTGGGTGATGGCCCTGCTTGCAATGGTGTGAAATCTTTATATATATATATATATATATACAAAAAAATAAATTGTAGGAAGCTTTGCACGTGAGCAGTCTTCAAATTACTATTTTTCCAAGCCTGTGAAAATATTGTTCTTCAACGTGTGGGTAATGAAAATGCTGTGGGGAAATGGCTTTTGACAACTCACCATGGTAAAAACACAGCACCAGTTCATGCACTTGAGGCCAGTTGCAATGCCCTGGTCAGGGTGATGACACAACAGGAACTTTTCCCTGACTTAGAGGAGGGCACGCCAGACACAGAGGAGGAATGTTGAACCATTTTAAAGACAACGGCAGTTGTGACTGTTGGAGATGGCTGAGGGAAGAAAAAAGCATAAGAAAGAAGCTTACGGAAGCAAAAGCAGGAGAAAGAAGAGCACTGCTCCAACGGGCCAAAGGCCCATTGAGTCCAGCATCCTCTTTCCCACAGTGACCACTGCCATTTAGATACAAGTGGAAAGCCCACGAGCAGGGCATGTTCCCTAGCAAGTGGTGTTTAGAAACATAGGCTGCAGAAACCAGAAGGTACATGCAGCCATCCTGACTACTTGCTGAGCTGATAGACGGGCCGTGTATTTGTCTAATTCTCTCTTAAAGCTGTCAAAGGTAGAGGCAGCAACCACATCTTGTGGCGACAAATTCCACAAATTATCCTGAAAAGTCAATGGGCAAGATAGAGAAGAAAAGGAAGGCAATGACTAAAAATGAAAGGCTGAGGAGCAGCCAGCCCAGCACAAACAACAGCCAAGGTATCCAGAGGCGGAGAGAGTATGTAGGAGAGAGACTGGGTCTAGGAACATAAGCAGATCCCTGATGGATCAAGGTCAGCATCAGAGTGGCCAATCAGATGGCCATGGGAAGCGTACAAGCAGAACATGAGCTTTTTAAAAAAGCAGCCTTCTCCCCACTTGTGATTTGCAGCAACTGGCATTCAGAGGCATACTACCACCAACAGTGGAGGTGGAGTGTAGCCATTGTGCCTTGTAGCTATTAATAGCCTTACCCGCCATGAATTTGTCTAATCCTCTTTTAAAGCTATCGCTGCTGGTGGCCATCACAAAATCATGTGGGAGCAAATTCCATTACAAAGCTACTCACAATCTTGGCTCTAGTTATATAGCATTTGTGTGTAGGGAAGATATTTGATTTTTACTGTAAACCTATCCCTGCTCTGATGTTGTTAACTCAAGAAATATTATAGACATTATTATTAGTTTGGCTTACTTTAATAATGGCCCAGAGAGGGACTTTTCATGAATGTCAAACCCTTTTTTGGTATAAGTATCCCCCCTCTCAAAGTATTTTTTTTACAATAGGCTGCTCCTAGATGGGATGAACCTCCTGCCATAGCCTAAACTGCCCTATTGACCAGGACTCCTCTTCTCAGCCCAGTCCTAAGAAAAAAGGAAGCAAAGAGAGAAGCTTTGGGTTTTACTCTCCCAAAGCTCAGAAGGCAGAGTGTAGCAAAATCTTAGGAAATATCCCTATAATGCAGGGGTAGCTTTTACCAGTGTGGTGTAGTGGTTAAGAGCTGTGGACTCGTAATCTGGTGAACTGGGTTCGCTTCCCTGCTCCTCCACATGCAGCTGCTGGGTGACCTTGGGCTAGTCACACTTCTCTGAAGTCTCTCAGCCCCATTCACCTCACAGAGTGTTTGTTGTGGGGGAGGAAGGGAAAGGAGAATGTTAGCCGCTTTGAGAATCCTTCGGGTAGGGATAAAGCGGGATATCAAATCCAAACTCTTCTTTACATCCATGCAGAACATGGGGAAGCTTCTAGTGATAAATTGCATAAAATTACCTTCTAAAACTTAGAAAGCCAAATGCCAAAATACAAAGATTTTTATAGAGTGGGAAGGGGAAGACAAGAATTACATGCACAGATGAAGTAAGTAAATGTAATTCCGCTAGCTACATGTTACTTGCTTGAACAAATTTTTGAGTTTGGAGCATGTGCAGAAAGTGGCCTTTATCTATTGGGTGGAGAAAAAGAAAAATCTTTAACATATTCCAAGAAAAATGTCACCTGCTGAATTTTGGCTCAGCTCTAATAAATACACAGTATGCTATTCACCACAATTATCCTCCCACCATAATATCCATTCTTGTGTGGTTTATAGAGGGCTTGTCCTGACTTAAGAAGGCTATGGCTCGTGTCCAGTTTTCTCCTAGAAAGACTCATCATACTTAGGGGGTTTAAGCCCATTCATTGGCCAATAATAATGTTCAGTTGAATATTATAGGCACAGCATACTCTTGATGCTTGGAACTCTCCTGTGACCCACCAGCTAAACTGGTTTGCAGAGTTACTCACCTCAGTGAACATTTGCTCTGAACTGCTGAGATTTCCCCATGCAGCTGAATAAATATAATTGGTAAGTGCACTTCTCTAGAGTACATTACATTCTGTTCCTCTTTTCTGACGTCTTGCTCTCTGAAGCATGGGGTGGGGCTGCACAGTGAAGGACTTTCACAAAATAAAATAAATGACAGTAATGCAAGCTACAGAGAGGCTCCAAGTGAGAGAAAGTCTGCAATGCTCTTTGAAATGAAGGGAGATTTCTGCATTTAGTTGAATGAAAGAATGTGTATGCTTTACCACTGAAAAATGTGAAATTTTGAAGTATGGTAGTCTAGGAAGCTGTGTTTTTTTACCCATGTAGTTTTAAATAAAAAATGAGCATCCATTCTAGTAACTGGAGAAGCCCTATGGTTCAGTACTTCCATGATGCTGAGCGGCATTAACCTAGGACCATAAAATCACTCAGGAAGGCACTGAATAAAAATGAATGCCTAGCAGAAAAGAACCAAGATTAGAAGATTCATGGGAAGGAGGCAACTGAGTTTGCACTCAGTCCTGCTGGAGTTCATAAAAGGACTAGAGTATGTATTATGTACATCAGGGTTGGTATCCTGCAGTAGCAAAACATGAGTGTGGCCACTGACTTCTACTGTGCTACTGACTTCCCTTGTGGGTTTAGCTAAGTCACTTTAAATTAATTTCCAAATTGGCAGACAAGGTTTTCCAGTGAATCATGTTTTTGTTTCAGAGTTCCTTTGGCTCTCACTGCAACTTGTATTATCACATGTTAGAAAGGAAAGGATGGGGATTTACTGGGCTAAGGCAGCAGCAGAAATGAAGCAGTGGGGTGGGGTGGCTGGGGAGGAGCTCAGTATGCCCTGGGGTGTAGGTGGAAAGAAGTTTTTGAGATGGAAAAACAATTATGCTGACTCTCATAACCCTCTATAGATTTGTTTAGATCTTTCTGCCATGTGTTGAAGTGTTAATGCAAGAAACTATCTCTCAGTCTGTGAAAAAGGAAGCACCTAGAGACTTGGGGTGGAGTCAGGACATGTGTTGACTGAGAAGGCCTGATACTTAAGCTGATCTAACTTTATTTGGAAAGCAGTGAAGATGGAGGTGAATACCTAGCAAAGTAGAATGCCATGGTTAAAGTCACAGGAGCCAACTCCTAGGGACCGAGCCCCCACAAAATTGATGAGCATCGTCATTCAAATGGTGTGTGCACCGTGTCTTGTGATCAATTATGCGGGGCAGGGCTTACCTTGCCCCACCCCCAATATTTTATTCAAGTTG